TGAGGGCCACCTGTCTTACTGGTAAAAACTGAGGCAAAGTAGGTGTTAAGTACCTCAGCCTTCTCCTCATCTCTATTAACTATGTTTCCCTCTAAGTCCATCAAAGAATGGAGGTTTTCTTTGCCCCTCCTTCTGTTATTAATCCTGGCTGCTTCCTGCATGGATGCACATCCATAGCTGATGAAGGGGATTGCTGGGAATTCTGGACACGAGCGTTTGTATCCGGGAGCAAATTCAACAGTCCGGTCGCCTGAGCTGTGGGAATTCTTGCTCCAGCTCCCTGATGCTCTTTTCCTGGGGTTTTCCCAGGCTGGAATCTGTTTGCTGAAGCCCTGGAGGATTCCTCCTTCCCGGGATTTCCTTGGCATTGCCGTGGCATCCGAGTCCAGACACATCCCGGGAGCTTTTCCTGGGAATGTGGGCTGGACTCTGCTCCAGGCTCAGGGCCCTTCTGTTCCTCCAGCCTTTTCCTGTGTTTCCAGAGGGTTCCCTGGTGCAGCTCCGTGGGATGGAGGAGCCTTGGGATCTCCTCTGATTCCTGGTCTTCCCGGAGTCCCAGTCTGGGCAATAAGTGTTCCCTTTCCCAAAGAATTCCTGGAGATAAATGGGAATAACTGTTCTCCCTGCTGAGACTGCTCCATGTTGTCCCACTGGAGCTCTCCATGTGCTGATGGGATTCCAGGATGTGGGATTCCTTGGTGGAGAAGGGAAATAGCGGATAGTTCATCCCTGAGGTGGGTTGGAAATGGGGGATTCTCATGGAATTCCCCTCATTCCCGGGAAAAAGGCTCCCCAGCTTCCTCATTTCTGCCGGTGCAATTCCAGAGGTGTCCCGTGGGTTGATGTTGCTGAGATCCAGTTCACTTTCAGTGGGAACATGGAATGGTTTGGCTGGGAAGGGCCCTTAAAGCCCATCCAGCCCCAATCCCAATCCTGACACCTCCCGCTATCCCAGGTTGCTCCAAGCCCCGTCCAGCCGGGCCCTGGACATTCCCAGGGATGGGGAAGTGTTCTCACTTCTCTGGGAAATCTATTCCAGAGCCTCCCCAGCCTCCCAGCCAGGAATTCCTTCCCAGTATCCCATCTAACACCCCCAGGGAAGGATCCCTTGTGTCCTGTTAACGAACGGTGTGGTTGTTCCAAACCTGGCATCCCAATCCCAATCCCTTCCATGGGCTAACCCACTGCCTCTTCCCTTGATATCCTCTTTCTTCTTTTCCCTTTGTGTTCCCTTCTTCCCTTTCCCTTTTCCCTTTGTATTCCCTTCTTTCCTTTCCCTCTGCATTCCCAGTTTCCCTTTATATTCCCTTCTTCCCAATTTCCCTTTCCCTTTGTATTCCCTTCTTCCCACCTGCTTTTCCCTTGGTGTTCTTCCCTTCCCTTTTCCCTTTGTATTCCCACTTTCCCTTCCCTTTATATTCCCTTCTCCCCTTTCCCTCTTCCCTTTGTATTCCCAGTTTCCCTTTGTATTCCCTCTGTGTTCCCTGAGGTGAAGGGAGGGCTCATCCCAGGCTCCCTGGGAGCAGGGCAGGGAATTTTCGGGATTCAGGCTCGGGGCTTTGCTCGCTTGGCCAGGTTGGGGCCCCAGAATTCCAGGTGGGAGAACATTCCCAGGGCTGAGTTGGGGATGTTTGGGTGGCCAGGCTTCCAGGAAACCCCCTGGTCTCTGAGTATCCGTGGGATTTTTCCCTGGATTCTGTGTTTTCCTTCACTTGGGGCTCAGGATCGAGAGCAAACACGAGGTCACGATCCTGGGAGGACTCAATGAATTCGTCGTGAAGTTTTATGGACCACAAGGAAGTGAGTTGGGAATAAATCCCCCCCCTTCCGTAAAATCCAGCTGCTGGCTGAGCCTGCCTTTCCTGGGCCTGCCTTGGAGCTCAACATCCCGAATTTGGGGGAATTTCCCACAAAATCCACTTGATTTGGCAACATCTCCGAAGGCAAGCGGAGGATTCCCAAAATCCCTGCTTTGAATGAGGCTCCCTGTGCTGGGATTGTCCTCAGGAGCAGTGGGAATGATCTGTTCCTGCTGGATCAGGAATATTTAGGATGTGTTCCTGGGAACAGCCAGGTTTCTGTTCCCAGTGCCCTGAAGGTCCAGAGGGTCTGGAATTCCTGCAATCCCGGGAAAACCTTGTCCCAGGGAAGCAGAAAACCTTTTCCATCGGAATGAGAAACCTTGGGAGGGAAAAAAAGGGAATATAGAAGATAAAGTCCGGATGAATTCCCAGTGTTGCCAACTGAAATCATGGATATCCTGTCAGGAAAAGGCTTTTCCGTAGGAGTTTTGCCAGGAATCTCCCCCAATGGAATATTTTATCCCAAGGGTGTGTTGGAGCTCCATTTATTGTCTCACAGAGACACAAAATGCCCTAATTCCTGAATTTCCTCCCTTGCAGCACCTTATGAAGGCGGAGTATGGAAAGTTAGAGTCGACCTTCCTGATAAATATCCTTTCAAATCCCCATCCATAGGTAAGGAATCCTCATTTCCCAGCCCAGATCCCGGGATTTCTGAGCCCTTCCTGCGGCAGAAATGCTGATTTTCCAACCCTTTGTACCCACCAGAATCCCAAGTATTTCACTTAAAATCGGATTCCATTTACTGGGGTTGCCTTTGCCCCCCGTGGGTTTAATCCCAGCCCTTGCTGAGGGAATCCCAGGCTTTTCCTGCGTGGGAAAAGCTGGGATGTGTGGGTGCTCCCTGCAGCTCATCCCTGTTCTCTCCTTGCAGGATTCATGAATAAAATCTTCCATCCCAACATTGACGAGGCGTAAGTGGAACCCCTCCCGCCCCAGATCCCACAGAATTCCCGATGTATCCCCCCTTTCCTTTGGCTCCAGGGGAATTCCCTGCCCTTAAGTCTCAGTGGAAGCTCCAGTTTCTTCTGTGGTGGGATTGATGGGGAGTGAGGGGGGAATGTGGGAATGAATCCCTTATCCAGCCCCCTGGGAAGGATGATTTGATCCCTGGGTTGTTGTGGGGGCTGATTGTGTTTAACCCCCTCTTTGCCCTGGTCTAACCCGGTTTTTCCATGTTTTCCAGGTCAGGAACTGTATGTCTAGATGTAATCAATCAAACCTGGACAGCTCTCTATGGTGAGTTGGGAATGTCCCTCAGGGCTGGATGTGATTCCAGGACATTTCTTGTTGGAGGGGGGTTTCCAGAATTTTTGGACTCCTCACTCGGCCAAAATCCCGGGAAAGCTCAGATTCCATTGGAGGGAGAGGAGGTGGAACTGGGATGGGATGTTTGTCAGCTCAGGGATGCGGGAAGAGGCACCAGGAGGAGGATTCCCGCTGTGTGGGATATTTGGGATGGATCCCAGCAGGCTCCAGGGGGTCTGTGTGAGCCCTGAGGGGCGGTTGGAGCTGCAGGAGCCACTTGGGGCTTGGGGCTTGTTCCAGTGACATCATCATCTAAAGCTCTGGGAGATGAAATCCGTGGATTTAGTCCCGGAATCCTGGGCTGGGCTGGGCTGGGCTGGGAGGGACCTCCAGGAGCTCCAACCCCCTGCCATGGGCAGGGAACCCTCCATGGGGCAGAGAGCGTTTAAAGAGAGCAAAGAAGGAGAATCATTCAGTGAGGGGGGGAAGCACAGCACTGGCTGGTTTGGTTTTTCCTCGTTTTCCCATTTCCCAGTTTTTTTAAGGCAGGATTAAGAATCCAGCCAGTCGTGTCCATGCAGATTAACCCCCCAGTATCTGCATTTCTGTGCTGAGAGCTGGAGCAGTTTGGGAGCTGCAGCAACTCCCTGCTCAGCCTTTTAATAGTGTTTGATATTTTGTTCCCTCTGGATCCATGGATTTAGCCCTGGAATCCCGGGATGGTTTGGTTTAGGAAATGCCTACAGGCTGTCCTCTCCCACAGTCCGTGTGTTTGGGTGTTGGGATCGGGAGCGGTTTGGGAGTTGTGGTGACTCCCTGCTCAGCTCTTCATGGTTATTTGATGTTTTATTCCCTCTGGAAGACACTTTTTGCTCAGTATCCATGGATTTAGCCCTGGAATCCCGGGATGGTTTGGGTTAGGAAATGCCTACAGGCTGTCCTCTCCCACAGTCCGTGTGTTTGGGTGATGGGATCGGGAGCGGTTTGGGATTTGCAGCAACTCCCTGCTCAGCTCTTTATGATTGATTGATATTTTATTCCCTCTGGATCCGTGGATTTAGCTCTGGAATCCTGGGATGGTTTGGGTTAGGAGATGCCTCCAAGCTCTGCATTCCTGCAGTCCGTGGTGGGGGGGTGTTGGGATCAGGATCGGTTTGGAAGTTGTGGTGACTCCCTGCTCAGCCCTTTATGATTGATTGATGTTTTATTCCCCCTGGATCCATGGATTTAGCCCTGGAATCCCGGGATGGTTTGTGCTGGGAGGTGCCTGCAGGCTCTGCCTTCCCGCCGTCCGTGTGTTTGGGTGTTGGGATCGGGATTGTTTGGGATTAGCGGTGACTCCCAGTGGTCCCTCCGCGCTCTGCTCGGCCCCGTTCCCGTCGCTCCCCCCATTCCCACGTTCCCGGTGGTTCCCGCCGCCGTTCCCGGGTGTTTTCCCGCCGCCAGGCTCGGGGTGTGTGTGTGTTTGTCCCCGCAGATCTCACCAACATCTTCGAGTCGTTCCTGCCCCAGCTCCTGGCCTACCCCAACCCCATCGACCCGCTCAACGGCGACGCCGCCGCCATGTACCTGCACCGGCCCGAGGAGTACAAACAGAAAATCAAAGGTCAGCTCTTCCCGACCTTCCAGACCCAGGGAATCCTCCAGACCCAGGGAATCCTCCAGCCCTGAGGCATTCCCGACATTCCAGCCCCGGGGAATCCTCCAGCCCCATGGAATCCCCTAGCCCTGAGGCATTCCCAGCATTCCAGCCCTGAAGCATTCCTACCATTCCAGCCCCAGGCAGTCCCCCAGCCCCGAGGCATTCCCGCCATTCCAGTCCCGGGGAATCCTCCAGCCTGTGGCATTCCCGCCATTCCAGCCCCAGGGAATCCTCCAGCCCAGCGTTCCCAACATTCCAGCCCCGCAGCATTCCCACCATTCCAGCCCCAGGGAATCCTCCAGCCCGTGGCATTCCGGCCATTCCAGTCCTGGGTAATCCTTCAGCCCCAGGGAATCCCCTAGCCCCAAGGCATTCCCAACATTCCAGCCCCAGGGAATCCTCCAGCCTGTGACATTCCCGCCATTCCAGCCCCAGGCAATCTGGGAAAAACCTGGAAGTCGAAGCCCCCTTTTTGGTCTCGTTCCAGGGGCCCCTTTCCAGGTGAAACAGGAGCGGATGGGGAGGAAGGAATGGGATGTGGGATGTGGGACAGGGCGGGGAATCATCAGCACACCCTGCACAGGGAAAGCTGGAGGGAAGCTGGGATAGGATTCCATGGGATTTTGAGGAATGGGGGAAAGAAATCACCGAGTGACCGAAAAAATAGCAGGAAAATTCTGGTCAGGAGCATCCAGGAAACAATCCTTGGATAAAAAGGGGCTTGTTGGAAGTTCTTTGGGAAGTTCTGGGAGCAGGAATGGAGGGATTGGTGGTGCTGTTGGAAAAGGAGGGTTTGTGCTGTGGCAGAGCAGGAATTCTTGGAAAATCCCAGATCATCCTTCCCTGCCACTCCCTAGTCCATCCAAGGTTTCCTAGAGAATTAATAAAGGCTGGAATATTGAGAGGGGGAAAGACCTGGAAGAGTTTAAAGGAGCAGAGGGGGTTCTGAGCCTTGGCACGTGGGAAGGGCCCTCAGGAAAGGAGGGAATGGTTTATCCTGGAAGTGGGATGGGGTGAGCAGGTCCCGGAAGCTGCTCCAGGAAGGGCTTGGAAAGGGAGTGAGACCCTCCTTGGGATTAGGGAACAGACTCCCAAATCCTTCATTTCCTCAAGTCAGGCCCTTGCTGGCTTTGGGATTTGTCCTAAATCCCTGATTTTGGGAATCAGTCACTCCTGTGCTGTTCCTTGAGGTCCATCCCACTGGGAAGGACTCGGCTGTTCCCAGTTCCGACTGTGTGTGGTGCTGCCAGGGAATCCTTGGGATCCTCCTTGTTCCCAAGGGCTTTGCACATCCACGAGGTCTCCACCTGTTTCTGGACAATGCTGGGAAGGTTTGGGATGCCAGGATGGTTTGGGATGGGAGGGAACTGAGGGGTGGGGACCCCTCCCACTGTCCCTCATCCAGCCTGGCCTTGGGCACTTCCAGGGGTGGGGAATCCGCAGTTTCTCTGGGAATGCAGAACTTATGATTTATAAATGTATCATTTGGAGATGGTTTGGGTATCCTGGAGGTATCATTTATACCCAGTTTGGATCCAATTTAGAGATATTTCAGGATCGTATGGATACAGTTCCATGTGTTTGGCAGGAGTGGTGACACACGCCGGGACCGTGAGCTGTGACTCCTCCCCCCCTGTGCCTGCTAAACACCCCTTTTCCCCCCTTTTCCCCCCAGAATACATCCAGAAATATGCAACAGAAGAAGCACTAAAGGAGCAGGAAGAAGGCACCGGGGACAGCTCCTCCGAGAGCTCCATGTCCGACTTCTCGGAAGACGAGGCCCAGGACATGGAATTGTAGTGGAGGGGCCCTCCTGCTTTTCAGAGACACTCTAATTTCCTAACCATGAGAAGCAGACTATAATATTCATATTTAAACAAAGCAATTTTTTTTATTACTAAACAAGGTTTTTATGAATTATAGCATTGATATATATATATATATA